ATGTATATGATCCCATTAATCTTCCTGCAAGATTAATGGCCAACATATTCTTGCAAAATAAATAATTGACTCCTAGCCTGAATGTTTGTTGGCTTGTTGCTGCAACGAAGATACTATACTCCCTCCGTTTCTAAATATTTGACATCGTTGACGTTTTTAAATATGTTTGACCATTTGTCTTATTCAAAAAATTTAAGTAATTATTAATTTTTTTCCTATCATTTGATTCATTGTTAAATATACCACAAAAGTTTTTGAATAAGACGAACGGTTAAACATGTGCTAAAAAGTCAATAGTGTCAAATATTTAGAAACAGAGGGAGTGTAATGCCTGTGGTGACAATAGGGGCACCGTGATCGAGACTCATGGATTTTTACTCTATTAAAAGCTAGGAAAATAGTCCAATTCTTATAATCAAGGGTTTAGCATTGCTTGTGCCGCGCGTGCCGGCGAGCATGATGAGGGCGCGCGGGGGCGAGGCGAGCAACGACGCCGCCTTGTGGCCGACGCGCCCGGAGCAGCAACGGCGGAGACATGCTTGTACAACGACTGACGGCGATGGAGTCAGAGACGAAGTGGGGCGTGATTGGGGAGGCGGTGGCGTCGTTGTCGTGGCTCGTCGCAGCTCGCCGACCTTCCCCCTAGCACATCAGGAGGGGTGGATACTCGGCTCTGTTCGGTCTGGCTCGGTTCGGTCTGGCTCATTAGGATAACGAGCTAGTTATATTGATCAATCATAAAATAGAAATAAGAAAAGAATTTATATTTATTCCGATCAAACTTCTTCCCTATTAACTTGAAAGTTCTTCTGAAATACAACGAAATGGTTCAGTTCTAGAGCCAAAGATCGTAGTTCTCGAACAAGTACTCGAAAAGATTCTGGAGGATCCTCATGATTAGGTACTCGTTTTCCCCAGATCGTAGCGCTAAGTATTTCTTGGCGAGCTATAAGCAGCTCGGCTCGGCTCGATTGGAAGCTCGAGCCAGTTCATTTAGCTTGCGAGCTGGCACATCAACAAATGCATCTAAGACAGATTGCAACTTGAATCGAAGAACCAAATCAACCAAAAGTCCATAATCCATACATCCGAGCAAGCAATCACAGCAAATACATGACCCATCATCCATTCGTTCACCCGTACTGATGAACCAAAAGTCCATCATCAAAATTCCACACAAGAAAAATGTAGAAAAGCAACAACACTTCTGTCGACATTTAATGTCGCGATTCCGGTATTTGCATAGTATGGGATCATTGGTACTAGGGTATACGCGAGACTGAGGTAAAAGATACGGAGACGGGGATTTTTATACAAGTTCGGGCCCCTGAATTATTGGGTAATAACCCTACATCCTGTTGGCCGAAGCCGGTATTGCTCTTATTCATCTGGATCACACAAGTATAATATTTGGGGTAGCCTATCTAACTGTTGTCGACATGGCGGTCTGAAGGTCTGACTCGTAGTCGACAACAGGGTAGTCTTCCTCCTCGAATCCGTACCCGGCGAGATCAGAGATAACGCTTTCGTCTCTCCTGATAGTATCCAGAGACACCGTAGAGGACTAGCCATGCTTATCCCTGAAGTCGATATCCGGCGCCTTGTCTTGGCGTATGTTGGCTTGTATATTGTGGCTTCTGTTGTTCCGTGTATGTTGATTGTCTCTTCTATGGTGAGTGTGTGGATTATCCCCTCTCCTCCTAGGGGGCCTTGTATTTATACACATATGTGTTCCCTTGTCCAAGTAGAACTAGGGAAACCAATATGGATACAATTCGAGTAGTCCTTGTCGTTTCTATGTAGAACTCTGATTGTCTTTCTTTATCCGGAACTCCTCCTATATCCGCAGGTTATTTCCGTATAGGACATGGCATGTGGTAGGTCCTGCCAAGATTTAGTCAACTATTATTAGGTATGTGGTATCTATAACCCTGACAACTTCATTAGTGACTCAATGGTGAGACAGCGATTACTACTCCTCAAATCTTCGATTCAGAACTTCACGACGGCAGCGGTGTTTGTTCCATTTTCAAGCAGAGCGGCAACTGGATGAGGGGATGGCGAGGTAGAGGCGTCATGCGCGGAGTGGCGTGGCCGAATTGGCGACGACCGACGGGCTAGGGGTAACGGCGTAGCGCGGCCGGTGGTAGGCTGTGGTGGCGCTGCCCTGATGGCGTGAGAGAGAGACGATGAGACGAGGGAGGGAGACAAGGAATGGCCAAATGGGGATGACGGCATAGATAGGAAGAAGGGGAAAAAGGGATCGATTCATCTAGGGTTGTATTTGTCTTGTACGTACACACGTTCTTGGGCTTTTGGTTTGCTTCCTTCTTAGGGAAAATTGTAACCATGCCATTATAATTTTGTAAAATTTGAGATATGCCATCCTAACCCACATGTCATTGATTCATGTGGGTCCTACATGTCATTGAAATACTGATGGCATATCTTAAACTTTGAAAAATTATAATGGCATGGTTTCAAATTACCCTAGGCTTTGCACTTGGGCTTTTAAGATTAGTCTGTCAATTGTTGAGCCTGGCTCGTTTGGCTCGCGAGTTGGCTCGTTATAGCTAACGAGCTAAAACCGTGGCTCGGCTCGTTAACAAATCGAAACGAGCCAAGCCGAGCCGAGTCAGACACGAACCGAGCGAGCTAACGAGTCACGAGCTTTTCGTTCAGGCTTGAACTCGCCTCATCGTCCAGCAGCGGGTAGCAAGCCGTGCTGAGTCCCCGCCTAGATTTTGGAACTCTCGACACAAGCTGAGGGACCTTGGGTGAACGTTTTCCTTAGTCCTTTGCAACCCATTCAGCTCGCTAAGGCCCATTTGAGAAAACAGGGGTTTGCAACGGCCCATGTTTTCATTTTGTTGCAGTGTCGGTCCATAGAGTTTTAAAAGAGGCCCATTAGTAGCAAGTGCAGATCAACGGAGAGCCCACTGATAAGTGCAGTAACGGCCACTGTTAGGCATGCACTTAGGCCCATATAATCATTACGCATGTGGCATAATGCCATACTCGCAGAAATTACGAAGCGCAGTTACTATTGTTAGTATGTGTAGGAGTAAAATAAAAACAACGTAGGAGTATGATTTCAATAACTGTAAATTATAGAAGCCTCATTGACTTCAGTGTATGACCAATTGGTGTACTCAAACGTAAGTGCATCTGTTTGAATTTGTGATCAACCTCGTTGGATCGCAATTGCCCTGTTTAGTTCCAAAAAACTTTTTTTCCCAAAAACAACACATCGAATCTTTAGATATATGTATAGAGTATTAAATATAGATCTCTACTATTATAAAAATTAAAGATATTTTTGCCAGTGTTTTGGTACGTCATCCATATTAGAGTCGATTTTTTAATTTTATCTTTATCTTTTTATATGGCGGTCTCTTACGTGAAACTTGCCCCCTCACGTCAGGAAAATAAACATGCAACACAAGGTCCGATTCTGTTTCGTTTCTCCCCTGTATGCATGTGATCATATATTGTTTCCCGCGTATTCCCACGGAGGCTTCCAAATTTATGTTGCTTTGATTGACTCGGACACTGTTTCTTTGAAAAACAAATAACGCTATCACATCACACAAGTGTTGTTGAATCTCTATTTCTATCTCCATCTCTACTATTATAAAAATTAAAGATATTTTTGCCGGTACTTTGATACGTCGTCCGTGTATGAGTCGGTTTTTAAGTTCGTTCGCTTTTGGAAATACAAATATGTATTTGAGTCGGTTTTTAAGTTCATTCGCTTTTCACATACAAAAGGAGTCATATAAGAAAACTCGCATGCTAACTTTACGAACGGACTCCTAAGCTCATGATTTTCTAAAAATATATATATCCAAGTGAATTTTCACAATGAATTTGATTTTAACTAAACAATATAACAATAATATGATTAAAATAGTTTTCACCCGTTGCAAACGGGCTTTTTTCTAGTAAATTAAAAAAACTAATTGCACAGTTAGAGGGGAAATCGTGAGACGAATCTTTTGAGCCTAATTAGTCCATGATTAGCCATAAGTGCTACAATAACCAACTGTTAGGGTTACGGATAAGGTATACCCTCTACCCTTGGATGTATGTTGTATGCCGATACGGTATACCTGCGCGTATACTGGTAATTTCTGTATACGTTAAGGAAATCTATCACATGATAGAAACAGAATCCATACATGGGAGAAGTCCTACTCGGACAAGACTGGGTCGTTACCATATCGTGTGGGGTCCGATATCTTCGAGTCCTACTTGGAGATCAACTGACCCGCGGTATAAAAGGGACCCCAGGGCAGGACCTAAGGCATCGAATCTCACCGCCAACACATCCACCACAGCCTACGAAGTCGGAGCCTACAGGAGCCAAGTCGCCGGGTGATCTAGTCGAACCAACTCGACTACGGTCTCGTCGGTATCATCGAGTTCTGCTATTCCCTTTGTAATCTGTAGTTTCCATCATATAATCTCATACCAACTGGATTAGGGCTATTACCTATCAAGGGGCCTGAACCAGTATAATCTTTGTCTTCTGCTTGTTTGATGTCGTACTACGTAGATCCTCTTACCAACGTACCCCACACTACAAGAGAATGGATTTTTCGTGACTGGCCCTCACTCTCACGAAAAGTCAAAAGCCTGTCACAAAGATCTTTGGTGACCACATACTATCACAAAATGTCAGTCACGCTTGATTGGTCACGAAGTCTAATATTTGGTGAGGGGAAGCAGTCACAAGCTGTTCAGTGACTGTCAAGCAGTCACGAAAAAGCAATTCCCCCAATTTGCATGTTTTGACCATTTTTCTAACAGTTTTGCTTAACTGTTGGGAATACTTTTTCGTGAAGGTGGTAGCTGTCACAAAACATCAATTTCCTGACAGACTTTTGCCGTTAGGAAATACCTTTCGTGACTGGGTGGCTGTCACGAAACACGTCATGTGCACGTAATTAATATGAAAATTCATGTAAATCAACCTCATATGCTAGAAAGTGAGTTCAGATACAATACAACAAAATCACTTATTTTACCCGAGTCCAAATTCAAACTCACAAAAGCATATATTAGCAATGAACATCGTGAGTCCTTACATAATTCATAGAAAAACAGTATTTGATTATGCACTACAAATTTCTACACAAGTCTTGTATCAGTCTAATAATTCTTGAAGTGACAAGCCCAATATAATGCCATAGAATAGAGGGAAGCAGCCTTCGGTGGCCACTCATGAAGCAAGCTCCACTTGAAAAAAGGAAGTCTTCTGAGCTTTCCATAAAAGAACCATTCAACAATTATCTACAAATATGATACAATATATTAGGAAAGCTTCTGCAAAACAAATTAGTACATCAAAGTGAATCATCAAATTGAGTTGAACTGTATCACTGGACTTGAAATTGTTGCCTTAAATTTCAATGAATGTCACTTGAAGATTACAGCAAGCTACAATTTAGTTATTAGCTAATATAATTACTGAATAGCTCGAAATTCAAATGGAATCACTAGTCAACACTGTAAAAAAGCCTATAAAAAGCTTGAATCAGATTAATCGCATGAGGTAATCAAGTAGATGAATCATCGGTAAATTGCTCTTATCATGCATACCGATTAAAACACTGTACTGGAATGAAGTCATTAGAGCCATGCAAAATTACAATAGTTTTCTTGGACCTTTAGCAAATGCTCCAATATTTTTGCCATGTTTAGGTTCAATAATGAATCCAAGATAAAAAGAACACACGCTAGGCAGCTGTCAGATAACTGGATAAGCACATTTCTGTGCAGAGTTTCAGCATTTAAGATAAAACGAATATACATGTATACCATGTAGCTTCAGATATCTAGGAAAAATAATTTCTAGATCAAAGAACACAGGCATGCCATGTAGCTTCAGATAACAAGGGAGCACATTTGTATGTGTTAAGTTTCAGGACATCTTTAAGAAACAGAGATAATTTCCTTAAATCTTGCAAGCCATTAGGTACCTTCAGTATATTCTAGTTTCTTAAATACAAAGCTGGTCATTTTGGCATAAGATGACTAGTATCAAATCAATTATGACCAATTAATGGTAGCATATAAATGAGTATGATAAATATAAAAATGACTCACCAAAATTCTAGTTCTGATGCATCAAAAACAGCACTCTTCCTCTGTGTCCCATTCTTCAGATTGATTAGAGCAGTCTACATTAGATTTAAAAGCCATCTTTAGAAATGAAAGGAAAACATATTCAAGATATGGCACAACAAGTAATTAACCATAGTATTTTTGGAAAAGCGAAAACATATTACTTCCAAGGCATATTAAAGATGTCCTGTTCCACTATTTACTAGCAACAAATCATTAAAACCACATTATGCGTTGCACAGGCAGTAAACTATATAGAACTTAAGAATGGACTGCAGAAGTTCAGAAGCAATCTAATTCCCACAATGCATTACATCTAGTAGCTGTGTAGGCACAATGGTAACTGCATCTATTAGCTATCCAACTCCTCCTAAACATCTGCGTAGAGTTAGACAGTGACAACAACACTTGCATGATAGCAGGTAACAAGAAAAGAAAAGAAAATAATTCAGAAAACACTTGCTTGGTGACAGGTAAAATGAAAAGAACAAATGATTCTTCAGTTTTACCTTGTGGATGTCCAACAGATACTTCAGGTGATGTCATTGATCTGCAGTAAACTCGCTCTAGGATCCTATATAGTGTAAAATTAGAAGAATTTAGAATTCTAACAAACAATATACATTTTTAACTAAAAGTTAGCTGATTTTTTCAAAAGTACACAACACTGACAAGTGTACGAGAAAAATGAAGTATAATTTCAGTACACCTGCAAGTAGTAGAACAATATTTATGCATTATCTACATATACAGGAAAGGGAACACAAATGTTTATAATTGAGATGCACATTAAACAACTTGCCTTAATATTTTACTATGAATTAAGATCCAATTCAGAGGATGCAAACACATGAAAAATGTAGCTTGTAAAATATCTCACTGTTGTAAGGAACCAAAAAGCTAGTGTACAAAAACCAAGGTCAGTAAACTATCCATAATTGTTTATCATAAATTATCCTAATACCACTATCTAATGAAATCTGAGAATTTTTGCAACCATCTAATAAAAACATTGTGACAAATTACTGGTTTAAAAGCCTCAGACATAAATTTAACCAAAAATCGCTGCATTGGCATTTCATCGAACACCTATGGGTCACCCTATGGAAAAAACAGAGGGAACTATTTCTGGTGGAAGGATTAAGAGCACAGAGGAGAAGACAGGTCGCTGGAGTGCAGAGTAGCGATGGCACACCTCACGACGAGAAGAGCAATGGTGATGCGACCCATGGACAGGACACGGGGACGACGGCGAAGCCCACCGTGAGGAGAGCAGCGGCGGCACGCCCGTCAGAGAGGAGAGCAAGGGAGGCAAGACCAACGGTGAGGTGAGAATGTACGGGCTCCTTCGTCGGCATCACTACCAGCGACGAATAGACGTGCAGAGTTGCGGCGCCGAGGTGGAGGCGTGGAGCTCACTAGGGCCAAGAGCCATGGGGAACGAGAAGAACACTCTGTTTTTGGTGGTTCACAGTTTCAGACAGAGGCAGAGCAGCTTGGCCCATTTAAGTCCATCGCACAGTATGGTGAGGGCTTTATATTACTACACCGTCACCAACTCTATAACTCGGTGACTGGCTGCTCTTCCCAGTCACGAAACACCCAATTTCGTGATGGTGTTCTAATGCCTGTCACGATATGTCTTCTTGGTGACTGTGTTTACATCGCCATCATAAAATCTGTGGGGCAGTCACGAAAAAACGATTTTCCAGTAGTGCCAATACTCTCTATATCCGGTCTATGGGTATCCCCCGTCGACACCCACATGTGCTAATGATGGATTAATTAGGCTCAAAAAGATTCGTCTCGCGGTTTCCAGGCGAGTTATGAAATTAGTTTTTTCATTCATGTCCGAAAACCCCTTTCGACATCCGGTTAAACGTCCGATGTGACACCCATAAATTTTCTTTTCGCGAACTACACGGGTCTCGAGAGGTGTCTCTGTAACTTGCGAAACTATGAATTCGATCGAACAATTAATCATTTGATGAAACCGTACGTAATTAACCCTCGTAGTACTATCTCCTAATTATGCGATTAATGACTCCTTCAAACAATTCCTTTCCAAGTTTGAACTATGGAGATATGTAGCTAGACACAGTGCCAAGGTAGTGAACCGAAGGTGTGGTCTATCTTGCGAGTTGCACGGCCGGTGAGGGGCCGATCGATCGAGACGGAGCACCTACGCTGCACACACACACAGTCAATCGTCTTCTTCCATGGACCATGGCGACACACATGCAGGACACGTTACGGTGTCACCTTCACCAACCATGCACACGAGTACTTCGCCGGCGACAACTTCCATTGCTCAATTAGTGCTATACAGATTTTGGATTAGGCCGACCAAATGTTAATTACCCCCCTCTTAATTTCTCTCTCCGTCTCTAAAGTTAACATTTTGACTTCGATTTGTTTCGAAATATAACACTACTACATCATGACACATTATCCTCGACACCACCCCTTTTGTTTCCAAGCGGTTCGTAAGTGAAACCGCACAAAAAAAAAAAATAAGAGTACCGGCGTGGGACTATCGTGGTCCACTTAAATCAACCGCACGGGATAATCACGGAAAAATTGATTTTCCCGTGCGGGCTTTTAAAGTACTCATATTTTATTATCTCTCAACTACCCCCTCCCTCTCTCTCCCTAATCTCTTCCCCCTGTGGTTCCCTCCACACCTTCCACTCCTCCCCCTCCCCTCCTCCGCAGGCCAGCACGACGAGCTGGGCGCGGCGACAGCCGGGCAAGGCAGCTGATCGGCGTGGCGAGCGGGCGAGGCGGCGGCTGGTCGCGGCGGCGAGCCGGGCGCGGCGAGCGGGCGAGGCGGCGGCGAGCTGGGCGCGGCGACAGCCGGGCGAGGCGGCGGCTATTGGCGGAGGCGCGGCGGCCGCTCGCCCTCGCCGCTGCCTCGGGAGGCCCACCTTGACGATGACAACGACGGCCTTGACAACGACGACCTCGACGGCGGACCTCGGCGAGCTCGCGACAACGATGACGGGCTCGTGAGAGACGGATCCGTCGTCGGTGGGCGCGATAGAAGTGAATCCATCGCCGGCGAGCTCGGGGGAGGCGGGCGGGCTCGTCAGCTCGCGGTGGCAACGGCCGGATGCGGGCAGGTGGCGATTTTCGCTTTTTTTTATTTTTGGTTTTTTTTTCCGTGCGGGTGGCATTATTTGACCGCACGGGATAATCCATTTAACCCGACCGCACGGAAAAATGATTATCCCGTGTGGTCGGCCCGTCTGCACGCGAAAATAATGATTTTTACAGACGAGGAGCTGCAGGCGGGCCAGGCGACCGCACGGGATAATCATTCCAACCGCATGGAAAAATGGGTATTGTAGTAGTGTAATAACTTCTTCACCTGTATTTTTTTTCTCAATCAATTATAACCTTCTATATATACTATTCAAATTATCCACATACTACTTCTCCTCAACCAATCACAACTCTTCTCTATTTAAATCCACATATTTTCTTAGTACTCATATTCAACTGTAAAAATTCATATTTGGGACAGAAATATTATTAGAATTAGAAGGGTAGTTTATAGTTTGACAATCATCGACAAAAGGCTCGCGAAACAGCTAGCTTAACATTACGCGAGGAAAGAAAACACTATTACTCGCTCGTTTGAGCACGCCCAATGTAAAGGTAGGACCCACTTACATCTCACAGCAATTAGGTGAAAAGTTCAACAATCTGAGATGTAAGCTGCATAAAGTTCACACCGCGTTTGACGAGTGGGCTTGAGATACTCTCTCTCTCTCTCCTTTTCCCTTGTAACCCGATGTTTTTTTATTGATATAGAGAAGGGTAATATTTTATTTGGCTCTACATCCAATCAGATATATACATTATTTTAAATTGAAATTTTGATCGTTCATATGAAGATTTGAACTCAGAATCTTATGGTGCTACTCATGTCACTCTAATCGCCCTTTGCCTAATGCCGGTTTCTACTATATGATGCGGCTAGAAAAATCTTGCCATGTATGTGACCAACTTCATGTCTTCATCGTCTTATGCTCTTGGGACCTCTACTCCACCCCCCCCCCCTCATGGAAAACAGAGTAGTCCATTAGCACATGATTAATTGAGTATTAGTTTTTTTAAAAAAAATGGATCGATATGATTTTTTAAAGCAACTTTCATATAATTTTTTTAAAAAGGCGCACAATCTAGCAGTTTCAGAAACGTGTGCATGAAAAACGAGGGGAATGGATTGGGAACTAAAAATAAATGAATTCAGCCTTAAAATCCCACGCTAGATACCCGTGCTCTTAAGCCTGTGTTCTTTAGTCAGGTTCCCAACCCATATCCTCGTTTTCCGCGTGCACGCTTTTCAAACTGCTAAACATTGTGTTTTTTTTGCAAAAAGTTTCTATACAAAAGTTGCTTAACAATAATCATATTGATCCATTTTTAAAAAACAAAATAGCTACTTCCTCCATTTCATATTACACGACTTTCTAGAATTGTCCACATTCATATAAATGTATGTTAATGAATCTAAACACATATATATGTCTAGATTCATTAATATATATATATATATATATATGGACAATGCTAGAAAGTCTTATAATATAAATTAAAATGGATGAAGTAATACTTAATTAATCATGTGCTAATAGATTGTTATGTTTTCCGTGCGCGGGGCATTTGTTCCCAACTGGGGAAACGAACACAGCCTAAATGACATGACAATGCCTTCCTCCATCCATATCCTGATCTCCTCTCGGATTTCGCCAAGCAACTAGTATTACACTGATCGCGATTTCTGGTTAAAGCATTGCGTTCCTTCTGTAAAAACCATCATCACGAACGTCTTACTGTAGCTCGTCCGAAAACACAGCCTAGCTAGCCTGGAACCACCACTCTGCAAGATCAAGCCCCATTCGCCGACAGGTAGTTCAGTAGTTGGAAGGGAACAATATATTGATCCGCAATAATGTGCAAACATATATATGCTGACAGTTTAATCGTACATAGCCATATACGATGCATGCACCTATATTACTATATACGATGAATGTGGATAAGGCGCATAAAGCAGGAAATGATCCCTGGTTTGTATAAGTTAGCGTGACGTCGATATATATAATACCTCCTTTTTAAAATGTACGACGCCGTTGATTTTTCATACAATGTTTGACTATTCATCTTATTAAAAAATAGTATAAATATGTGAAAGTATAAGTTGAGATTTAATTTTGTTTGATGATAAAACAAGTCACAATAAAATAAATATTGTTTATATTTTTTTTGTGGTTAAATGTTATACAGAGAATGAGCAGTGTCGTATATTTTGAAATGAAAGAAGTATCATTCGTGTTCTTACACAGTAAAACGGACCAGATAAATAATCTGTGCTACTTCACTTGTTATTGAGCCCAGACAGCGAGAGCACACTGCAACAACAAGTTGCACAGGAAACACTATTACCACTGTCTTACTGTGATTGCAAATATCTAAAATCCAAATTAATTAATTAGAGATGATGGATTGATGGTGCAGATCGAGTACTGGCACAACACAAGGATCGTATCCGAGTCACCATTTTTTCCAAAAAGTTTTCAAGATAAGATTCTATAGATAATATTATTCAATAATGTATCTGAAGATCTGCTTAAACAGAGTGTGTGCCGTAAGGTCTACAAAGTCGTTTGCGTGGAAAGATGCACCACACATTCCGTTAGTCCTACAAGTATATACTACAGGTATACAGCTTGCACTGTTGCACAGCACTTTCATCAATCAATGATCTCAGTTATCCAAAAAAAAAATCAATGATCTGCAACGTGAGTTCAATTAGTTACAATTTGGTCAGCACTATATCAATTATATGAAATTTAGTACTACCTCCGGCATAGAAAGAGTGCAGTTATACATAGTTTATATCAAACGTTTGACCGTCCGTCTTATTTAAAAAATCTTTTATGATTAGTATTTTTATTGTTATTAGATGATAAAATATGAATAGTATTTTATGTGTGACTATCTTTTTATAAATTTTTCAAATAAGATAGACGGTCAAACGTTAGACACAAAACTCACAACTGTAGTTAAAATGGGACAAAGGTAGTACTCCCTCCGTTTCAGGTTATAAGACATTTTAACTTTGGTCAAAGCCAAACTTCTCTAAGTTTGATTAATTTTATAGAAATAGGTAGTAATATTTTTAACCCAAGATAAATATAGTATGAAAATGTATTCAATTATATATTTAATGAGACTATGTTGGTGTTATAAATATTACTACTTTTTTCTACAAAATTAGTCAAACTTAGAGCAGTTTGACTTTTACCAAAGTCAAAACATCTTATAACCTGAAATGAAGGGAGTAGTACATATTCCCTTCGTCTCGTAATATAGCAATTAATGTATGACATTCTCCGTCTCACAATACAAAAACATTGGACCCAATGAGACATTTCATAATACTATATTTAGAACCTGAGATATATGAGATTATCTTAAATTGTTGTACTATAAAATATTTTATCCGATTCTAAATTATTAT